TTGCAGTCCCTGCAGGGGGCCTAGAGCCTTCAGTGCACAGCAGGTGCGTGTTGGCCCCCAGAGCTCACAGACGCCCCCACACCTCGACAGACAGCAGGTGTGTCCTGGGGGAGGTCACGTCCCCTCTGGGCATGTGGCCTGGGGGCAACTCCAGTGCAAGCCCCACTGAGAGCTGCCCCCCACCAGGAGGAGGCGCCTCTGTGGGCCTGGCCGTACTCTGCTGTTCAGCCCCCTTGCGCCCCTGGAGATCACGCAGCGAACGGCCCGCTGTTGTCAGACTCCAGAGACTGCGCGGCCCCCATGGAAGCCGGGTCTGCACTCACCTCCGGGAAGCCCTTCCTGACTACTCTGGCTGGTGCCTCCTTCTAGCGCCCTACCTTCCACTACCACATGACCGGACCGTCGGACTCTGGACCTGGTCTCAAACACGCAGCACCGCTGTGGGTGCTTAGCCAGGTCAGGCTGGAGGAGGGTGGGAGGCCAGGAAAGGGCTTTTGGGAGGAGTCTCCGGGCAGGGAGGCGGCAGGTCGAGCAGGGAGTGGCCGGGCACGCCAGCCCCTGCCTGGCCGCCCTCCTTGTTGGGTCTGGCGCGGACCCCACGGAAACCGAGGGTTTCAATCAAACCTTGGTGGAGGGCAGGCGGGCTCCCGCCGCCCCGGCTGTTGACTTTAGAAGTCAGGAGGCTGTGGGCTCAGCTCGGGGAGATATAAAGGGAGAGAAGGGCCCGGCCCATTTTATACGAAGAAAAAAAGAAAAAAAACCCAAACAAAACAAACCCCGCGCGCGGCCCTGGACCCGGTCCACCAGCGCCGCAATCAAAGCTCCTTTCAGAGCTCAGCGCCCTGCCAGCCCCGCTAATGAAAACCAAGGCCGCCCCGGGAGGGCCCCGCGCGCTAACACCGTTTTATGATAACGGGGACCTCGGATTTTTCTAATTTCAGGCGTCGGCGATTTGGGTCGGGGCTGTTTTCACGGAAATAGAAATAGAAGCCGGCGGAGGCAGGTGGGACTCTGCCACCCTGGACTGTGGAGCCCACCCGGCCGCACCTCCTCTTCCAAGGAGGCCTCCAGTGGGGCAGGACTGCCCAGGGACGTGGTGTGGGTCCTTGGGGTGCAGCTCTGGGAGGTCCTGGAGGCCCAGCTCAGCAAGGGAGGCGGGCTCACATGGAAGCGTCTTTGTCTCGGCCTCCACGCCTGTGTGCATCGGGCGACCGCGACCCGAGCCCAGCAGTGCGGGAATGAGCAGCTTTTCCCCCTAAAGTCAACTGAATTCTGAGGTCAGGTTCAAACTCCTGTGCTGGCGAGAAACTTGAGCTCAACCTGCTTTGGTCAGGGTTGGGGTGTGATTCTGTCCTTGCTCCTCTGTGTTCCCATCTGTAAAATGGGAACAAGGAGAATGCAGGCCTCCAGGGGCTGAGTTAAAAATAGCACACATTTAGCACAGTGCCTGGAGCGCACTGTCATTGTTATGCTGAAGAGGAAGATGAGGCCTGAACCCCAGCACAGGTGGGGTGGGGGATCAGGGGAGGCCTCCTGGAGGAGGTGAGGTTGAGGCTAATGAAAGATGAGTCGGAGACCAGTGTGGTAGCACAGTGGATTAAGCCACCACCTGTAGTGCTGGCATCCCATAAGGATGCCGGTTCAAGTCCCAGCTGCTCCATTTCTGATCCAGCTCCCTCCTTACAAGCCTGGGAAAGCAGTGGAGGATGGCCCAGTGCTTGGGCTCCTGCACCCACGTGGGAGACTGGGAGGAGGCTCCTGGCTCCTGATTTTGGCCGGAGTGAACTCTGGACCTGGACAGGCGACTCCTTGTCTGCTGCTCCCTCGCTCTGTCCCTCAAGCAAACACATAGCAGGTTACGCATATAAATATATATGACGGCACAAATCTCTAACCCCACCTGTCCAGGGGCTTCATCCTCGACCAGTCTTGGCCGCATTGTGAACTGTAGTGATTGATAAAGTACATACAGGATGTATTTGGTTAGAAAAAACGATCATTCCCCGAAAGCGTTACTGTGTTCACAGCAAGTGTGGGTCTGCAGTCTAAGCCCTGCACACACACCCCCCTCTACCGAGGGGCTGCGCTGGGGGGTGGGCGGCACCGCTTGCGGCCTGCTGGGGGTGCAGTACCACCGGCGGCCTGCTGGGGTGCAGTACCGCTGGCAGCCTGCTGGGGTGCATTACCGCCGGCGGCCTGCTGGGGGTGCAGTACCGCTGGCGGCCTGCTGGGGTGCAGTACCGCTGGCGGCCTGCTGGGGTGCAGTGCTTCCGGCGTACTTCCAGGGGTGTGGGAAATGCTTCCCGCGTGCTTCCGGGTCATCTCCCTGCCGACTTTCTCTTCCGCGGTGTCCCCTGCCTCCGTCTCCTTTACGGATGGTGTGGCGTGGGTGGCGCGCGGGGCGCGGGCGGCCTCGGGCCCTGGGTGTCTTCAGGCCGCGGGCAGGCGCGTGTGGCAGCGCTGTGCTCCAGGCGGGGACCCTGTGGTCTGAGAGGCTGCCCATGGCCCCAGGTGCGTCCAGAGGATTGCTGGGGAAACTGAGGCAGGAGCCGGGCTTCACAGGTAGCTTGTGGGCGGTGGGGGAAGCAGGCAGAGGTCAAGGGCAATGGCAAGGACACTTCTTAAGGCCTTGTCCCCAGGGGCTCCATTAAGTGACGCTCGGGCCTCAGGCTGGGGGCCAGCGCCCTAGCTGTCACTTTAGTGCTGAGATGTCTTAGGAGCCCACTTGGGCCCCGCCCCACTGTCGTCTCACGCGGGCTTCCGGCTCCTTTGCTGGGACCGGTGCAGATGCCTGGGAACTGGCCTCTGCATGCCTTGGCGGGTCCACACGACCCCCCTACACGTCGCTGTCCCCTCCCCCACTGCCCTTCCTAGTCCCCACTTCCCTCCTCAACTTTCCAATGCACTGAGGGAGGGGCGCCAGGAGGTGGGGTTTGGTGACAGCAAATACGTGCAGGACAAGGCCTTAAAGACAGGGGTCAGAGCAGAGTGGTGTGGCGCTGGGCCCCAGAGCGCCCCCACGGCAGGCACACAGGGAGGGTGGCTCCTGGGCCCCGGCCTGGCGACTCCTGCAGGCTGTGCCCGGGCTCTCGGAGGTGAGGGTAAACACTGCACGCAGTGCTCTTAGCTGCAGGACTAAAAATAGGAAGCTGCGGCTCCCTGGACCACACAGGTGCGGCTGCGGACGCCGGCAGCGGAGCCGGGACTTCCGCCAGGAACAGTTCATTCTTTCTGTCTGCACCCCGCCCGTCCCGCTCCCCAGCTCCTTCCGTTTACGACCCCGAAATGAACTGGCAGGCTGAGGGGCCTTCCCTCCGCCCCTGGCCGGGCTTGGGGCGTGCTGGCGCTGAGAGCCCGCCCCTGGGCTGAGCTGGGAGGTCTGGGGTGCGTTTATGGGGTGCAGCCTGGGGCAGGGATGTCTGGGCGAGGGTGAGGGGGCCTGTGCCACCTCCCCCACTCTCATGGTTCCCACGGGTACCTGGCCTTTCTTCCGGCCTGGGACTGCCTGCCAGACGTGGCTGCATTTCCAACCCCAGCTCTCCCATGGCCAGACAGGCTGCGGGGCTGCTCCCTGCCAGGGCCACCTCCCTGTCGTTCCCAGGCCAGCCCCAAGGGACACCAACAGCACCTCAAACTGTAGGGACTTCGGAGACCGAGGGCTCCCAGCCCCAGGGACACACGGCCTCCCCCTTGCCCCAGCCAAGGAGACGCCTACCTAGGGGCAGGGGCCTGTTCACTACCTGAGGGAGGAGGGGCTGCAGAGACGGCTCCAGGCCTACGGGAGGAAGCCCCGTCCTGCACGTCAGGGTGCTTCCCCAGGCCCTCTCGGAGTCCTCTCCAGGATCCCACCGGAATTCTGGCTGTCACACCGGATGTGCCTTCTCCCCCTCTCCCCGGAGGGGAGGCGGTCGCTCCCTCTCCACCTGCTGCCCAGCGACACCCGCCCTGCCGCCACCTGCAGGCCACTGCAGGTACTGCAGCGAGTCCTGGTGCGGCCCTGGGGGGCATGGCTGGGTCCTCTGGCGAGCGGGTGCGCCGGCCTGAGCCTGCTGGGGTGCTCACGAGGAAGGCTCGAGGGGCTCTGGATGTTGCGGCCCCCTTCCCATCGGTGTGGGGGAGGGGCCTCGGCTCCCTAACGTGACCCCGGAGAAGCAGAGACAGCAGCGGGGACACCATGCAGGCAGTGCCACTGGACCTGCTCTGTTGAGCCCTGCCAGGTGCCACCCAGCGTGGCCAGGACCCTGCCAGAGACAAACCTGCTGTCCCTGGGGCTGGGGAGATGGCAGCCTCCTGCTGGGTGCTGGGGTCCGGGCAGAGGCTGGGCGCCCTCTGAATTCAGTGCCCGTGGGCATCACTCAGTAGCGAGGCCTGTTCCCTGGGGACTGCTCTCTGCCAGTCGCAGCTGGCAGGCACCTGGCCAGGCATGGGGCTGCAAGGAAGCCGGGACTCCTGGCTGGTCGGGTAAGTGGGGGTGCATGCCGAGCCGTGCTGGTGGCCCATCCCTGGCTGTGGTCCCAGTGGAACCTCCAACAGCCCCCACTGCTGCCTCCTCCACCTCTCAGCACCCCCACCCCGTCACGGTCCCAGCCAAGGATGTCCTGGCGGGAGCACCCACCACGGTAGCTGCACATGCCTTCCGCCTCTGCCAGGCCCCCGAATCCGTGCCCGGGAACCAAGCTGCCGTGGGCACCCAGCGGCTCCTGCTTCCAGCAAGGAACCTAGGCCACTGGGAGCAGGGGTACGTGGTGGCACCTTGATGATCACGGGGTCCCAGCCACGCCAGGGGGAGGCCTCACAGGCCATCCTGGCACCTGAGTGGTTTCCTGATGGAGCGGGACGAAAGGCGGCCATGGGCACAGGAGTTCCCAAAGCAGCAGGTGCAGCCCCCAGCCCCTGCCCTCTCCCCCCAGCCCCCCACACACAGCCCTGGAGGCCTGGCCCCGGGACCCTTCAACACATCTCCGAGTTCTATTACAGTGACAAAGCAGCCGAACTCCCACTTTCCAGTTAAATAGTACTGAAGACAGTTTACTGTACAAGCAGGTTGTGCATTAAAAACACACACACCAAGCAAACAACAGTGCAAAGCAGTTCCCAGCCCTCTGCCCGCCCGTCCGCCCGTGGGGGTTCTGAGGCCGGCGGCCGGCCAGCCTCGGCACGACCACCTGTCACCGGGGCTGGGCCCGCAACCCACGGGCTCCCAGGGACCGCCGCACCCTCTCCTTGTGCTTTTGACATCCGTGAGTTTGCAGGGTCCAACTTGAGGGCAGCCTTGCCAGGGCCCTCGCGTGGGCCCTGGCACTCGGCGAGGCTCTTGCCACACCGGGGCAGGGATGGGGAGGGGATCATAGGGCTACAAAGTGCTGGGCGCTGGCGACCCAAAGGTGCCTCCCTCGCTGGCCCGGGCCAGTCTGCAACCACTGAGCAAGGAAGCGGGGGGGGGGGGGGGAAGTGGACTTGTAGCTGCTTCCTGAGAAGGGGTGGGGAGGCCCCCGCAGCCACCGGGAAGAGTGGCCTGCTTTCTCCTGTGCGGACAGGAGAAACTGCAGCAGGAGCAACGTGAGCTGGATCACCAGAAGGACTTCCTAACCGGGCCAGGGTGTGCGTCCGGCCTCTGGCTGTTGCTCCACATGTGGGGGTGGCACTGACAGCCACTAAGGAGCATCTCCAGGCGGCCCGGCTGGAGCGGTTATGGGAAGCCACGGCCGACCAGTGCTGTAGTTCTCATCTGTCTCCCTGAAGCCCTCGAACTGGAGAACCCAGATGTGAGAGCCCACGCAGCCTGTGGAGGAGGGACACAGGCCCCTCCCAGCTCCTCCGACCTGCCCTGGAGCCCCCTGCTCTGGGAGGACGCTGACAGCCCCTGACGTGAGACGTGAGGGTCCCCGCGCGGCACCAGAGCTGCTGCAGGAAGGGTGGGGGTGGGGGACCCCCCCGCCCCGATCCCACGCGCTCAGAGACTGTGTTTAAAGAGGTCTGACTGAAGCTTGTTTCTGAAATCCATTTTAAAACCGGCTTCCGGTTCCAGGCTGTTTGCTTTGGGGGCCGCGGAGAGGCTGGGTGGGGCACAGCTTGGTTGGCCCTCGGGGGGCGGGGCGGCTGGCTCAGTAACCCCTCGGCCCAGGACCCCCTGCCCTTCCCAGGGTGGGAACTAGGGGCCCCCACCAAGGGAACTGGAGGGGGCTGCCTCGGGCTAGGAAAGTGCGTGGGGGTGGGGTCCCGGCCTGCAGGTGCTGGGACCCGACGGGCAGCTGGGGGCCAGCACGTCCCCTCCTTGCCGGCGCCGCCGCCAGCCAGGGGCCGGGGCCCACCCCATCCATACCCGGAGCGGGGGTGCTTTCCAGTTCGGACTCAATGTGTGCCAATGCAGCGGGAGGGCGGGGTCTCAGGAAGAGGGTGGAGCACGGGGGGGGGCCCTCTTCCAGGGACCCTGAGGCCTTCCCCGCGGGCAGAGAGGGCCTGGGGCAGTCGCAGGTGCTCAGATGACTGGGCTCAGGGCGGGGGTGGGGGGCGGCGTTCCTGGGGAGGCCCCCAGCCCTCGGTCCAAAGAGGGAGCTGCGCAGGTGCTCTCAGAGCCACCTGCCGCCTGGGAGCGTCAGTCTCGTCCTGCCGGGCCCGCAGCGGTCAGTAGGGCCGCCACACGGCCTCGTCCATGCGGCCCGGCGTGCTGAGGGCCGTGGGCGAGTTGCTGTGGCTGCCGTCGGCCTCCACGCCGTCGCTCTGGCCGCCCAGGCTGGGGTTCATGAGGTTGCCGGCGGCCACGGCGGCGCTGCTGGTGCAGGAGGCCAGCATGCGGCTGGGCGAGCGGTCGCCGCCCCCGCTGCCGGCCACCATGGAGAACTGGTAGGAGCCCGAGGAGGCGGCCCCGTAGTACAAGTGGTAGGGGGACGGGTTGGCCTGGAAGGGCCCGGCCTGGTTCTGCGGGGCGCCGGGGTAGGGCGGCGGGAGGTAGGTGTGGTGGAAGCGGCTGGTGGCCGGCATGCCAGCCACGCTCAGGCTGCTGATGCCCGTGCCGGACGGCGTGGCGCTGTAGGGGAAGGCGGCCGACATGGCCCCCGGGTAGTGCATCCGGGGGTCAGGGAAGCGGCTCTCCGTGAGCGTCTGCAGCGCCGGGAAGGGGCGGTCAAACTGGCGGGGGTCGGAGAAGGGGCTCAGGTCCGAGGTGCCTGGGGAGACAGCAAGGAGGAGGGTCAGTCGCGGCCCGAGACCACCCGAGCGCTCTTCCTGAAGCGAGATGTTGGGGTGCTGTGTGCAAGCCCACCGTGGGGGGTCCCTGGCTCCGATGGGGTTCTGCCTAGGGCAAGGGGTGGGCAGTGCGGGCCTCCCCCCAGGCCCGGCCCGGAGGGGAAGAGGTGGCGTCTCCTGGCGCATGCGCAGGAACGGGTGCCTGCCCAGCCCTGCGGCACCTGGGCTTCCTCCTGGAAGTGGGCCCTGACCCAGTCCCACAGAGACACAAGGGCCGGCCAGAGCCTGTCCCGGCACCCCCAGGAGTGCGGGTCCCCCAGGAGTTCCCGGATAAGTGTTCCCACCTCCACCCCTGACCTCTCATCCCCGTCTCCCCAGACCTCTGCCCTCAGCATGCAAAGTAGCTGAGGTTCAGTCTAACCCAGCTGGAGAGAAAGCAGGCCTGGGGGCAGTGGGCAAGGCACCGGCCCGAGGTCACACAGCCCCCACGCTAGGTAGGCAGCAGGCCCAACTCCCAGGCAGCACAGGAGCCAGGCTGTGTGGCCTCTGGAGCTGGGCAGTTACCTAGGGTTTTGCACTGATTAGCTGTGTGTCCTCGGGCAAGTCGCTTAACCTCTCTGGGCATCAGTTTCTCCATACTGAAAACAAGGACTGTAACAGCTGATCGGGATTAAGCTGGTTAACCCACATAGAACGGAGCCGGGCTGGGGCGGGGCCTGCCAGGTAGAAGGCAGAGGTGAGGCTCTCGCGCAGGGCCCCCTGGTGGTCTGGCAGCAGTGAGAGGAGGGAGCCCCCAGGGGTTCCAAGGTGAAGGTCTGGCCCCACCCGCTCTGTCACCCCTGAAGATGAGGCCAGGAGGGGGCCCTGGAGCAGCGGGTGGCCACCCCAGTCGTGTCCGAGGCGTGGCTGAGGACGGAGGGCTGTGACCCCCGGGGAGAGCTGCGGGGTGCCCTGGTCCTGCGCGTGGGCTGGAGCCGAGTGATGCTCCTGGCCCAGGCTGGGGGAGGCACACGGGGCATGCACGCAGGGCCGCACCTGTCGGAGGCCGGGACCTCGGTGCCGAGCGGAGTGGCAGTGGGTGCTGCCCGTGCATCAGGAACCCCACAAACAGGAGCCGCAGGAAGGGCCTGGGCCTGGCGCGTGGCGCTGGGGGCCCCGTGGGCTGCCTGGACCTGCCGCGGTCCCCTCCTGGCCTTGTCCCCGGGGTGAGGGAAGTCCCTGCTGTCAGACCCCCACCGGCTTCCCCAAGGCCCCCCACCCAGGCCTCGAAGCTCCAGGAAACCCGAGCTGGCCGGGCCACGGTGGAGCAGCCAACCCCAACAGGGGAAGGGAATGTTTATTTTCTTCTCCAAATTGCCCCAGCTGCTGTGTGGCGGCTGAATGAGCCCTTTGAGCTGCGCGAAGCCCCCCATTGTGGGCGGGCTGGGGGCTGGGGTCCGGAGGGGCTGGGCCTCGCCTTGCTTGCCTGGGACCAAAGCTGGGGGTCAAAGCCATTAACAGGCACCAAGGGTGGGCGGAGGCGGCCTGGGGGCAGAGGCTCACCCCACCTGTAGGGGGGTGCAGTGAGCGTGGCTCCCCAAGCTGCGGCCGCCAACCCGCTCTGTGGCTGGGCCCTCCTCCCCACTCTGCAGATGAGAAAGCTGACGCTCAGAGAGGTGCAGTGACTTGCCAAAGATCACACAGCCAACGTGCAGAAGAGCCAGACCCATTCTTAGCGAGGTCTGACCTCGAAGTTCACACTTCGGGGTCCTGGGTTCCCAAGGACTTTCGCTTGCCCCAAAGGGGCCAGGTCTGGGAGGAGCTAGAGGGCCCTGGCTCAGGCTGCAGCAGGAGGATGGGGGTCTAGCCCCCTCTGTCACCCCAGACCCGCCCCCGGAGGTCAAGCTGAGCGTCTCACACCTGCTGGTCCAGGAGCTCAGGGAGGCTGGGCGGGGCCCTCTCCCCAGGTCCGAGTGCAGACCGAAGGGGAGCTTCGTGGGCTACATGGAGCCGCACCTGGAACCCATGGCAAGCGCCTGGGCAGCGGCCAGTGGACCCACCAGCTCAGCCTGGCACAGGGGGCGGGGCGGGCTGGCACAGCTTCTCCTGTGTCCGCAGAGGGACAGGAAGTTCCCCGGGGGCAGGTGCAGTAGGGGCTGTGAGACCCACGGAGGCCCTTAGGCTCTTAGGCCTCGATCCACTCATCTGCCGGGGCCTCTGAGCAGGCCCTGGAGAAGCGAGGGAGAAGGGAGGCTGCGGCCAGCACCTGGCTGTCCTGGCCCCACCCAGTCCCACAGCCCGGCACCCTCTGACCCCCGGCCTAAGGGCGGGCTGTGCACGCAGCCTCCTGACCTGAGAACCTGGAAGATGGAAGAGAGCAAGCCAGGGCCCAGCGGCTTCCCAAGCACCTGCAGGTGCGCATGCGCTCCAAGACCTCTCCGTGGCTGCGCCTGCTGGACCCACGAGGGTCGTGCCCTGGTCCCTCCCATGGGAGGAGTCTGGGCAGGCAGGGGGAGAGCTTGCCCAGAGAGTGCGTGGGCCTGCAGCTGCACCCTACGGCTCGCCACGTGCGCCTGAGTGCCCTGAGCTCGCTCGAACGCCACTCCAGCCCTGGGCAGAGGGAGGCGGAGGCTGGGGGCAGGGACAGGTCTGTCACCTCCTCGGACAAGACGCTGCGGGATTCGCCCCATTTCCCCAGGCAAGCGCGAGCTCCCGGGGCGCAGGGCTGTGTCTGTGCCGCTGGTGGGCGCGGGCACTGTGCACATCGGCTCGCGTCGGCCACCTGGGCCACAGAGGGCCATCCTCGGAGAGGGGCTCTCCACCCCCTCCGCCTGCCGCCCCCGCCGTGTGTACCTTGGATCGGGGTCTGGGCCTGGCTGCTGAAGTGGCTCGTGGTGCTGAGGGAGCCGCGCGGGCTGGGCGTGCTCGGCGCCACCCGCATGCGGAGCCGCTCCAGCTCCCCGAAGCGGTCGGGGAACGCCTTGGTCTGGTCCTCCAGCTTCTGCCGGTGCCCTGCGGAACACGGGGAGCCGTCAGCCGCCGCCGACACGGTAGAGCCCCACTCTCTGCCGGGAAGTTCTCCCTGAGGTCTAGCCACGGGCCTCGGCGGGGAGAACCCTGACATCACCACCAGCCTCCCCTCCAGGGCTTCCGAAAGACCGAACAGAGAACCGGCAGCCTGTCCCACCCCCAGACTGCGGGAGCTCCCCTACACCGCGTGCGCCAGAGGGGCTCAGATCAAAGCCTCTGCAGCACTGCTTGGCAGAAGGGGAAACTGAGTCACCAGGCCCGGGAAATGCCTCAATGCCCAGGGGAGGCGGGGCGAGAACCCAGGAGTGCTGCCGCCCCCGCCTCCTAGACATCCCAGAATGGGAGGGACTGCTCGCTGGTGCCCCCAGAACCCCTGCCCCTCTCCGGGCCCCAGAAGGGAAACTCACCCTCCTGAGGCCACAGTCACAGCTAAGTGACACCCAGCTTGCGGGACAAGTCCTGCACCACGCCCACGCTGCCTCACCGGCTCACTGGACACGCACAGATACACGCGCCACAGGAGGCTCTCCCCGCCTGAGCCCCCGCCCTCTCCAGAGGCCCCGGGACTTTTCCTGGCCAGCTTCTGGCTCAGTGTGTGTAGGAGACCCCGAGCAAGGTCCCCTCGGGCCGGCTGTGCCCCTCCAACTTGCCCTCTGAGCAGCTCAACCTCCGTTTCCTAGTCTGTAAAACTGGCCCCACGGAAGTGACAGCGTGCCCGGAAAACCCTGGGACCCCTCCCTGGGACAGCGAGGGCCCAGCAACTGTGACGAGCACTTCGCCGCGAGCCCACTGGCCGTCCCGCCTGCCACGGGTGCTGAGGGAAGCAGCGCCCTGACCACAGGGCAGGATGCTCGCCGGGGTGACACACGGGGGATGGGGTGGGGCTTCTTGAGCCCCAGGCCCTCATAGGAAAGTGTGGGGAAGCGGCTGTGCAGGAGGGGGAGAGAGAAGGTTTGCCCGAGTCCTGGGGTCTGGTAGAACGTGGAATTTTCTAGATTGACAAACACAGAAGAGAGAAGTAGGTGGGGAGCAAAACACAAGCCGTGCCCGTCCTGCCAGCGACGGGCGATTCCCTAGGGAACGTGTGACGGGGACAGGGACAGCACTGCAGGCTTCCCCAGGCCTGACTCTGATCTTCCGAATGATCCGGTACCCGCAGACCCCCAAGCTCCCCACGTGTCCCTCACAAAGCTCAGACGGGCATCCGAGAGCCCGCAGAAGTGGAGCAGGTGTTCCTGGGAGCCCCAGAGGGTCACCAAGCCCCGGGGGACCCCAGTTAACTTTCCAGTGACGCCCAGGCCATTGGAACACTGTGGGTCACCTGGCAACGGGAGTGAGGCCGTGGCCTCGGTGCAGTCCCCCAGTGCTGCCTCCCAGAATGCTCAGCAACAAAGGGTGAGAGCTGGGGTCCCAGAGGCAGGTGCACACGGGGCTGGGCATGTGGGATGGGTGGGGACTGCGGCAGACAGGAGAGGGCTGGGCCCAGTGTCACCAGTGCTTCCCACACCGGGTGGGGCGCCGGGGAGCGCAGGGTGGTCTGCCTGCCGGATGGCCGTGGGGACCACAGACTGACCTCACGGCAGCCTGGCTGCGGAGGATCTGGGTGTCTCAGTCCACCACAAGCTTGACGTGAGCCTGTGGGCTCCATGAAAGCGGGTGCAAAACCTCAGGCGTGGCTGTTATCGTCACGATTAACAAGGCCCCTTGTTTCTGAGTCACCCACAGACACAAGCGCTTACGGTTACTCCTGTGGCCTGGTGGGGGGCGGGGGAGGGCGGGGTTCACCGCCAGCTGGGGTTCGAGGACCAGCTCAGCAGCTTACAGCCTGGGGGCCTCGCTCAAGTCCTGCTCCCTGCCCCCACCCCAAGCTGCAGGGTCCCCGACACGCTGGCCCGACAGGGCCTGTGGGCAGTCGGCCCGCACGGGGGGCGGGGGACATCGCTCTTAGGACCGGTGCTGGACGCCAGGGAGGCAGGACTGCCCCTCCCCCACCCGACCTTCCAGCCCAGGACACCGAACTCAGGCAGCACTCGCACCCAGATCCCGGCCCCCAGGCCGGTGCTCTCCCCTCGGACATGTTCCTTTCCTCCCAAGACGGGTGCTGTGCTCAGGGGCTGCTCTGGCACCCGGGCTACGGACCCGGGCCCGGCCCCAGAGCACACAGCACGTGCTGTCAGAGGGCAGACTTCTGGAGGAAGGGATGTGTGCAGCAGTCAGGAATGGCTTCCCTGCCAGGAAGGGGAAAGGGGAGCACGGGGCAGGGTCGGGGGCGTGTGGCCAGGGCGCCAGAGAGTCTCAGAGCCACGGGGCTGGGGCCTTCACGCGGGGAGCCGAGCGGAAGTTCCTGCGCCCGAGGAGAGGCCCTCAGAAAAGGCCCTTTCATTCCGGTCCCACAGTGAGACGGGGTGGGTGGTGCTGCCCTCTGCTCACTCAGGCACCTGCGGCCTGGTCCTCCAGGCTCCGTGCCTCGGTTTCCCTCCAGCCCGCTGGCTCACCGAGGCCCCTCCCTCCCACAGCTGGGGCTTGAGGGCTAGGATCAGCCACCCATCAGCCTAGGGCCCCAGAGAGGAGAGCGGGTGGGGCCTCTCCCGGCAGGGCCCACCCATCACCGCCTCTTCCTGCCCCTGCTCTGTAGAGATTCTCCGTCCCCCACACTTCGGCGCCCCTGGCTCAGGACAGCCTCTGCCTGGAGGGGTCTCCTGCCCTTTGGGGCCTAGGCCAAGAGCCCCCTCCTCCAGGAAACCCCGAATCTGTACCGCGGAGCCCCCATGGCACCTCTACAGGCTACGACCACTAGCAGGAGTGGAAACAGCTCGGTGGCGGTGGACACCCCACCCCGCCCTGCCCCTCGTGGTGCCCAGGCTGCCCACATGCGCGCCTGTCCCCATTTTGCAGGTGAGACACGGAGGCCTGGTGCTGGTCACACCTTCTGGAAGGCACCTGGCCTCCTGCTCTCCCTGCAGCCCAGACACCTTTCAGGCAAAGAGCCTCGCACTTAAAAACCTAGGGCTCTGGGGCCAGCGCTGTGGCATAGCGGGTAAAGCCACCACCTGAGGCGCCGGCATCCCATATGGGCGCCGGTTCGAGTCCCGGCTGCTCCACTTCCAATCCAGCTCTCTGCTGTGGCCTGGGAAAGCAGTGGAAGATGACCCAGAAGAAGCTCCTGGCTTCAAATCAGCGCAGCTCCGGCTGTTGCAGCCATCTGGGGAGTGAACCAGCAGATGGAGGACCTCTCTTCCCTGTCTCTGCCTCTCTAGTGCCTTTCAAATAAATAACTTTAAAAAAAAACAAAACAAAAGAAAGAAAATCTAGGGCCCCAAACTGGGGCGCGGAGCTGCTCTGTGCAGAGGAAGATGAGCAGCGGGCCCTGCCCTGCCCGCGCTCGGAGCTGAGTCTGGCGCTGTACACGCGCCACTCCGGCCCACCGCGGCCCCGCCTCCCCCGGCCTCTGGGAAGCGGCTGTGACACTGTCTAACCCCAAGGGCGTGGCTGAGTTGGGGGACAGATCACAAGTTTTGGAGAGGAAGGTATTTCGGGGGGAGCATGGGCAGCACCTGGGGCACCCCCTCCGTGGCCTGCCTCCAGCAGCCAGGCTCAGATCCCAGAGGGCTCCCCCAGCCTGGTTGGTGCCCAAAGCCCTCACTTCCGGGGGAGCAGAGCACGGCCTGCCCCGCCCCGAGGGGCTCCAGGGGGCCCAGGCCTGTGCCAGGCAGCTCCCGTCCACCAGTGTTCTCGGGTAAACCACCTGTCCCTCTAGGCCTCAGCTGTCCCTGTTGAATGGAGGCCTCGCGGCTAAGGACAGGCCTTGGGCTTCACTGGCGGGGAGGTGACCCGGCTTCCGGCTCTGCCAACTCATCCTCCTCAAGGCGCCTATGGGGCGGGGTGGGGGGAGACCAGGGTCCCAGCGGGAGAAGGGGTCACACACAGCAGAAGCCACACGACAAGGAAGCTTCCAGGTGCCTGGTGCTTCGGAGGGGCCTGGGCAGCCATTGGGGCCATCCTCCTGCCTCCACGCTGCCCAACACGAACCCCTGTGATGGGAGTGGGGCTTCAGCAGGTCCTGTGCCAGGTAGGCCATGCGTATCAAGTCCAAGGTCCCCACCCCCTGACAAGCTGCTCCTCGGCCCCCTGTTTTACAGATGGCAAAGGGGAGGCACAGCCGAGCAGCACCCATGGGATTCAAACCCGGATTGCTCAGCTGCTTCCCAGGGCCTCCAAGGGAAGAGGGCTGGGTCCCCGGACCACGAGGTGGGCAGCCAGGCAGGAGGGGGGGCAGCGGAGCCGGCAGGGCCACAGGGAACAGCCTGGGCCCCGGCACCGGGCCCTCGGCCCATCCGCGCCGCCTGCTGCGCCGGCGGTGCACACACAGCTGCCACTGTGCCGCAGCCGGGTGGGGCGGCCGGCAGGGCGCTCTGCGGCCTGTCAGGAGATTTACACCGGCTCTCAGCAACCGCGGGGGTGGGGGGTGGCGGCGGGTGCTGGCCCGGGGTGGTCTGTCGTGAATGGGCCCCCTGTGAGCAGATGAAAGGCTGGCGCTGGCAGGGGGCCAGCGGGCAGGGAGGCGGCAGCTCCCTCCCAGGCCTGGGCTTGATTAGGGAGCCCGGGAGGTCTGAGGTTAACCCCTTCCCTCCTGCCGGGGCCCAGGAAGCAGCTGTGCGGCTGCGGCACCTCTGGGGTCACTCTTGGTACCCACGCCTGCCCCACTGGGGGCTCCCTTCCTCGGCGCCGCTGCTGCCGTCCCGGCTGCCCCCACCCCACCTCCCCACGCCTGGAAGCACATGAACTAACTCTGGTCACTCTGGTACTCACTGAATCTCGGCTGAGCACCTACTGAGCGCTCGGGTCTAGCTCTGCAGAGACCCCAGCCCAGCAGAGCAGGTGCATGGCGGGCTGAACGGTCAATGACGTAAGCACGTAAGCGGATGATGCCGGATGCCGCGCCTCCGAGGGGGCAGGTGCTGTGGTGAGGGGAGGGCTGGGGAAGGCTGGAACGGGGTGGGTGCCGGGGAAGGCTTCAGCGTTGGAGCACTGCGCCATGCCTTCAGGTGTGGGCGGGGAAGAGTGCCCCAGGCAGAAGGAACAGCGGTGCAGAGGCCCCGCGGCAGCAGTGTGCCTGGCAAGTTCCAGGACTGGTCAGGAGGCCAGTGTGGTGAGTGGGGTGGGCAGGGAGGAGGGGCTAGGAGAGGGAGGCGGACAGAGCGAGGGGCCCGAATGGGGCGGGGCCTTGCGGGCTGAGGTGACAACAAAACCTGTTAGCATCTCTTCCCCCACCCTGGGGTGTAGGCCCCAAGAGGGCGGGAGCCCCACTGGTTGGGTTCATGGTGGCACATGCCGGGCACGGAGCAGTGCCTGAGACCAAGTAGGTGCCCAAGAAAATGTTTGTTGAAATCATTCCATATTGTACACTTTGGGGAAGAAAGGGCCCACCAGGAGGACCCCAGAAGCAAGCTTCCCTGGGCCTCGGGCAGCGTCAGGACCTCGGGGTCTCCCTTGTATGGCAGCAGCACCCGCGGGGCCCGGAGGATGGAGTCAGCCCTGCCCAGGCCTGGCTCCCCCGGGAGCCGCCGGGCACGGCACAGCTCCTCCGGACCCGCATGCAGCCTGGCAGCCTTGCTCTGTCGCCAGGCCCCAGCGCCTCTGGGACACCAGCATCGCGAACCTCAGAAACCAAGGCCACACAGGCAGGAAGCCACCAAGCCAGCCTCAGACCCAGCTGGCCACCTGGCTGCAGGTTGGGCACGCTCTGCAGGGCACCGGAGGGGAAGAACCCGGCCACAGAACCCACAGCCAGGCCTCAGGGAGCCCCAGGACCAGCCCCCAGGCCCTGCCCTGCCGCCGCCTCAGACCCCACAGGGGGCTGGGGCCTGGAGAGGAGATCCCGGAGTGCAGCTGGCGGTGGCAAACCTGGGGGCCGCCAGGCAGCGAGCATCTCACTGAACCCTCACAGCACTGGCCCGCATCCACACGGACCCCACCCATTTCACAGATGAGCACACTGAGGGGGGAGGCCCCTGGGCTGCACAGAAGCCGTCACCCTGGCTTCGACCTGGTGGTAGAGGGTCTGTTCCCAGAAGCTCTGCACAGCGCACCCAGGGGCTCTCGGGGGGCAGCAGCCCGGGGCTGGCCTCTGCCCTCTCACCCGTGCACAAACCACAGCCAGCAAAGGAGAGGGCGTGTGAGGTCACAGGCTAAAGGCCAGGAGTGGGCTGGAACCAGGGTACTGGAACCGGGGTACTGGAACCAGGCGTACTGGAACCACGGGTACTGGTACGATGTGACCTGGGCCAAGAGCAAGCAGGAGGCCAGCTGAAGATGGGGGGGAAAGAGGGGAGCCCGCGCCCTCCCACCTCGGCCCTGCTCCACGCGGGAGCCTCTACTAAGACTTCCTTTGTGCCAGTCACTTACCCCACTGATCTCCCGCGGCCCAGAGAGGGGCACTGCCTGCCTCGGGTCACACAGCAAGCCGGCATCTTGCCTCCCGGCCCAGCCTCTCTCCCTTCCTCTGGGGCTATCTCAGGCCTGGGAGACCCCAGAGAGAAAAGCAGGCAGTGGACTCAACCAGCGGCTCCCTGAGGGGGGGGCGGGGCCTCACATCCACCCAGGGGCTTCGGTAGGGGACGGCAGGCAGCTCTGGGCCAGGCGGTGCTGGCCCCCTGGGGCCTTCTCACCCAGCCTGCACCCGTGCCTGTAAGAGCAGGTGCTCCTAGACGCCAGCCTCCGCGGGGCCCAGCTGTGCCCGGTCCTCCGCAGCCAGCCTGTGGCTCCCGAGACAGCAGTGTGGGGGTGGGAGGCTCCACTGCTGATAGCCCCACAGGCTCTCAAGCACCCCCATCTGCTCCAGCCACCAGTGACTCCCGTGTCACCACCGTGCGCCAGGCTGCACTTCACGGCCCTGAGTGGTCAGTGTCACGCCCAAGGTCACACAGCAGGTAACAGCCCTGGCTGACACCACCCATCGCCTGCTGCCCCTCCCCCACCCGTGAGCAGATGGACACCACTCCCTCCTCACAACAGCACCCTGGGAATCCCATTTTCCAGACAAGGAAACTAAGGCACAGAGGTGACCTGCCCCAGGCCGGCTGGCTCAGCACCTGCTGGCAGCACCACGGTCTCCCTGGGTCACGAGAGTTCCTCAGCCATCGCTACCTTCAGACGCCTGGGGTCCCTGACCCAGTTTCCAGATGACAAAACTGAGGCCAGAAAGGAGACAGGACTTGCCCAGGGCCAAGGGCACAGACCTGCCCCTGCCTGGTCCTAGCAGAAAGGAAGTGGCAGGGATGTGGCCAGGCCTGGGGACCACGTAACGGAAGGCACACAGGTGGGGCCCTAGGCAGTGACCCTGAGAGGCCAGGAGGGAGCTCCCCAGGGAATGGGACGTGGGTGGATGGGGAGCCAGGCCTGGGCCTCCTGGGCGCTGGGGTGACACCGGGTGCTCCTGCCGCAGGCCCACTCGGCCAGAATGGAAGGCTGGCTCTGGGTGCCCAGCCGTGCACTGTGGGGTTCTCAGCCTGGGGCCTCGCCGCCCTGGGACACAGGTGACCCTCTGTCTCTGCTGCCATGACAACGAACAACACAGAGTGGCAGCTAACACCGATGGGCTGGCTGTCCACACCCAGGCCCAGAGCCCCGGGATGGCTCACCAGCCCACAGCTGTTCCTGGCTTCACTCGCTGGCCCCCTGGGCCCACACAGACCCGCGGCCTCCGCTCAGCTATCCCCACCTTCCCTGCAAAGCCGGCACTCTGATGGGTCAGGTCCCCCTGCACACAATAGGTGCCCCATCCTATCTGGGGGATCAAATGCGCACCCCCGACCCCCCTGGCTGTGTGCGGCTGGAGCCAGTCCCCCCCCCCCGCCCTGTAGCCGTGGCCCATCAGCCAGTGGTGGCGGAAGCTGGGGAGGCCCAACCTTCCTCCCCACCCCCCCCACACGCACCACAAACGCCCCAGCCAGAACTTCGCCCATCCTCTTCCGCCCCTTGACGCCTCAGCTGGCCCCCGTGGCGGGCAGTCACCCCACGGCGGAAGTGACCTCACCACGCACGCAGCCTCCCACATCTGCAGCGAGGTCCATGGGCTCTGCACACGACGACGGCGTGGGGGTGCAGAGCCTGGGACGCAAGCAGAGCGATCCGGCCAGTGCCCATCCCTCCCTGGCCTGGGGCTCGGCGCCCAGTGGCACTTACGTCTGGGCTCCCGGGGTCCGTCCACGGTGACCTTGATGGCTCGGTGGTAGGTGGCCACTTGGGTGGGGTTAGTGAACACGGTGATGGTCAGCGTGAAGCTCTTCCCTGGAGAGAGGACGCGAGAAAGGCAGGGGGTTGGCACCTGGACCCCACCTGGAGCCTTGCGAGAAACTGTCCCCTTTGAACTTGGGCAGAAGAAGGGGCTCTGGGGGAGCTCCAAGCAGCTGGGGCTGACAGTCAAGGCCCAGGGGGGTCTCGGCCCCCCCTTGCCACCTGCTCCCTGCCCCCACGCCTGGGCCGACCAGGTTTGTTTCTCCTCTGCTCCTTGGCCGTTCGTTGCGCTGTTCCTCCTGTTTGGAGACTTACATGATGGGGGTGTGGGGAGGAAGGCTAAGTAAGACCTGGTGGTTTCTGAAAATGGCCCTTGCGGAAAACTTGGAAAACACAGAAATCAGAGAAGAAGACGAAGAAAAAGGCCCACAGTGCTAGCACCCTCTGGGTGCCGCTGCTTCTGACCCCGGGGGACGGCACTGCGCTCCTGAGTGGGCCCCACGGAAACACAGATTCTCGGACCCAGCTTTTAGCATCTGCAGACTTGCCGCGTCCTCACAAGCACCATCTGCCGCGACCCCTGGAGGCCCCCGGCTGCAGGAGCTGCCGCCCCCGGCCCACCCTCCCGGCTGCGTGCAGCGGGTCTGCCAAGGGCCTGATCTGGGAGCTGCAGACGCTTCGTTTGCAGACACAACTGTTATTTCCAGAACCCTGTTCTATTTTTAGACAGACATTTGGCTCCGAAGTCTCCATTCAAAATTCCAGAGAGGGGGGGACAAAGTTTTGAAAATAATACTATTATTATTATTTTTTTGGCCCTTGAAAGTAAAATGAGAATGACCTTGTGTGTACAGAAATCTCCGTCTGCATCTGTGCCTATGTCCTTAGCCTGGATTCCAAGAAGTGGCGACGACAGCCGCGTGGTCTCCCTGCGCCATGACGCGGGCGGCGGGTGGGACCCCGGGGCGCAGGCTGCTATCGGGCGGAAGATCTCTGAGCCGCTCTCGGTTTTGTTGGTCTTTCTTCCAGATTAGTGAGACCGAAACTTAGGCGGTTGTCACTGTCCTAATCCAACACTGATTACTGCTTTGCCTTCCTTTCTACTTCTCCCGTTAAGGGCTCTGCCCCTTTTAACAAGCCCGGCCTCTGGGGCCGGCGGACGCTGTCCACGGGCGCAGGCAGCCCCCCGGGGCCACCCCGGGCTGTTTCTCGCGCCAGCCACCGCCACTTCCTTCGTGGATCTCAGCCCGAGACAGGTGTCCCCGCGGCCCAGGCTTCCGCTCAGCAGGCACTGCTCTCTCTGTACTCCATGTCTCACTGCCTGTCTGTGCTCTGCTCTAAGGCAAAGAGTCTTCCTCAAAGCACAACGGACTTTGCTGGCGCCGTGGTAACAGTCTCCTCTCAGGGGGCCGGCGCTGTGGCGCAGCGGGTTAAGCCACCATCTGCGACGCCAGCATCCCCTCTGAGCGCAGGTTCGAGTCCCAGCTGTTCCATTTCTGATTCAGCTCCCTGCTAATGCTTCCTGAGAGGCAGCCGAAGGTGGCCCAAGGGCTTGAGCCCCTGCCACCCACGGCGGAGACCCTGATGGAGGTCGAGGCTCCTGGTTTCAGCCTGGCCCAGCCCTGGCTGTGTGGGGAGTGAACCGGGGACTGGAAGCTCTTTCTTTTCACTATGCCTTTCAAATCAACAAGTAACTTAAAAAAAAGAAAAATCTCCTCTCACACTGTTCTCTTATAAGAGACTGCGGGGGAGTTCTATGGACCCGGTTCCCGCGAGGTAGCGGCGGCCCGTGCCCCCAGGGCTGGCCAGGGATGGGCAGATGGAGGCTGCCCAGTGTCCCCTCGGGTGTCCTGGGGCCAGCAGGTCTCAGGACTCCGACTTCCCAGGTGGAGTTGAAGGGCAGGGCGGGGACGGATATCTGAGGGATTTTTTTTTGCACGGCTGCTCCAGGAATCAAGAGGAAATTCTAGCTCCAGAAACAGGAGGCTCCCAAACATAATTCAAGCAGCCGGGCTGCCCGGGCCACACCAAAGAACCCCAGGGCCTCCTAGAGGCTGGGGGAGTGGAAGCTGGGGTGTGGCTCTGCGGGGAGGGGGCCTCCTTGCCGCCTCCCGCCTTCCCTTCCGGAGGCCATTTCCCTCGTGGGCCCCTCCCCCCGCACCAGGCACTGGGGGGTGGTGTGTGTCCCACGGGGCAGCATACTGATGGGGTCTTACACAGACAGCCCAGAACCCCAGCTGGACTCCAGGTGACCAGGACCAGGGGGGCCCATCCCCTGCGGCGAGGGACGCTGGCCGCTCCTTGGGGTGCCCACTGAAAAGTCACCTCCTCTGAGAAGCCTGCCCTGCTGCTCCACCCAAAGCAGGCCCCTCCCGGCATGGAGGGGAAGCACACGGTATCGGGAGGTGGCGTCTCCCTCAAGTGAGCGCGTGGGCAGCCAGCCCCAGCGATTCTCGGCAGTACCTGTGACCTTGCCGCCGGCTGACGTCACCGTCACCGATCGCGTTACAGTCCTGCGGCTGCTCTAAATGTGCTGTCTGCTCGCCTCAACTCCAGGGTCGCTGGCGTCACCGCCTGCCGCTGGCCCTGCTGTTTAATACGTTAAGCTACGCAGCACGCACGCCGCAGCTCCTTTAAGAGATTTTCCAGCGGGACTTTCACACCACGGTTTCCGTGACAAGCCCCTCCACCTCGAGCCCCTCCGCCCGCCCACGCCCCGCCCTCTCTACACCCTGCACCTGCTGGCGCCGCCCCAGAACGCCCGCCACTTTCAATAATCCACATTCTTCTTCAGCTCATTTTGTCTCCCTCTGCGAGACTGTGATAAGCTCCTTGGCAGCCGGATTTTCTGTCTTGCTCGTGGCTGTGTCTCTAGACCCAGGGGCTGGCTTCCGGCATATGCTCAATAGATGTTTGCTAACGGAATTAATGACAGAGGCTACTGCTCCCATTTTACAGATGAGAAAACTGAGGCTCAAAGAGGGGCTATGCATTGGCCAGGACACAAAATGTACAGGGAGGGTCCAGCAAGGTCAGAATGTGTGGAACCTGCCCCTAGGACCTACTCCTGGGAGTGAGGGGCCCCTACCCCCACCAGGTAGCAGCCCGCATCCCACGGCCGAGACCCCCAGCTTCCTCCCAGGTGCCAAGCGCACTGCCACCCCTCCCAGGTACCTGCAGAGCAGAGAGAGGGAGTCAGGAGGGCTGGGAGCTGGATCTGGAAGCAGGAGTGGAGGGAGAGGCAGGGGCCGGGGGTCCCAGGAGGCAGGGGAGGGGCAAGGGTATCTCCCTGGGTGCCCGTCCCCTGTCTGTCCTCCGGCAGCAGGGAGCTGAGAAATCGAAGGGGAAAAACTCTGCAGGGGCCCAGGGCCAAGTGGTACCAGGGCAGCCCCCGGCACAGGGAGAGAACTTAAGTCCGGGAGGGGATGCAGGTGCGCCTGGGCGGCTCGGAGCACCACCCCACGACATGCCTTCAGGCCTCAGGGCCCCGGGCCGCTCAGCAAGTCCAGCGGGGCAGGATCCTAGGCCTCTAGCTTGGGTTCCCATGTGACAAACCCCGCCCCCAACCCCGCCCTGGAAGCTGCACGGGCAGCCGAGGGGCCTTCTGGGCCTTCTGGGATTGCTCAGCCTTGACCAAGAAGCCGCCTCTCTCCTCCCGAACGTGCACGCATCTCACTCGCACGGTCTGCCCATGCACTACGGCTTCTACCCAGTTCACACAGAGCAGGGGCTCACACCTCGTCATTCGCACCCAGGACAGTGGCTACCCACCGGGGGCATCGCAGGGGCGTGTGGCTGTGTGAGGCGGCCAGTGATGGGGACGGGGCAGGGGGAGCGTCCAGCAGCACCCGGGGCCCTGGGGGTTCATTCTCCCTGAAGGCAGACTCTGAGCTGCGCAGACTCTGAGCCCCTAACTCAGTAAGCGAGCGAGTCTGTCTGCGCCTCTCCCAGCTACTGGATTTCCCAGGAGAGAGGACAGTCCTGATTTTTCTTTCAAATTTTATTCAGAACTTTTCCAAGAGCTCAAAACTTGGCAGTCTCACGGCTCTGAGAGCAAGGCCGCATTCAGACGTGGGGCCTAGAACCCTGCTCCAGCACCCAGTGTGGCCTCTGTCCACGCACAGTAATGCGTGCAAAGGGTCTTAGAAATCACTTCCCTGGGGCCTGTACTGTGGCGTGGCGGGTTAAGCAGCTGCCTGCAGCGCCGGCCTCTGAGATGGGCGCAGGTTGGAGTCCCGGCTGCTCCACTTCCGATCCAACTCCCTGCTAATGTGCCTGGGAAAGCAGTGAAAGATAGTCCAAGTGCTTGGGCCCCTGCCATTCATGTGGGACACTTGGAAGAAGCTCCTGGCTCCTGGCTTTGGCCTGGCCCAGACCCACAGCTCTGTGGCCATCTGGGAAGTGAACCCACAGGTGGAAGATATCTTTCTCTCTGTCTCTCTGTAGCTCTTTCAAATAAAATAAATTTATTTTTTAAAAATTATTTGACAGATAGAGTTAGACAGTAAGAGAGAGAGAGAGAGAAAGGTCTTCCATCCACTGGTTTACCCCCCAAATGGCCACTACAGCCAGAGCTATGCTGGTCCAAAGCCAGGAGCCAGGTGCTTCTCCTGGTCTCCCATGTGGATGCAGGGCCCAAGCACTTGGGCCATCCTCCACTGCCCTCCCAGGCCACAGCAGAGAGCTAGACTGGAAAAGGAGCAGCTGGGACTAGAACCTGGTGCCTGTATGGGATGCCGGCACCCACAGGTGGAGGATTAACCAAATGAGCCACGGTGCCGGCCCCATCAAATAAAATAAATATTAAAAAAGAAATAGTTTTCCTTTTCTTCTCTTCCATGGTAGCTACAGAGACTCTGAAACTGTGTAAGACAGTGGGCACAAACCTATGAATTTCACTGCAGGACCGTACAGGGTACATTCTAGATCATCCCCTGCAGGCTGGGCAGGCCCGAATCACCCCAGGAGACACTGATCAGTTGCCCTGGCCTCGCTCTCCTCTGTCCTGGGTTCACACCCATGAGGGGCCCAGGTTGCAGTGTAGCAGGTTGAGCCGCCTGCACGATGCCACAGGCCCGCCTCCCATATTGGTGCGGCTGCTCCACTTCTGATCCATCTCCCTGCTAATGCACCTGGGAAAGCACCGGAGGAGGGCCCAAAGGTCCCTGCTCCTGGCTTCAGCCTGGCCTAGACTCCCATGTGGCCATGTGGGGAGTGAACCAATGGATGGAAAATCTCTTTCTCTCTCTTCCCTTTCAAATATATATATATATATATATATATATATATATATATATATATATATAAAAGAGCTCCATGGTACTACCCAATCAGTATATTTCATGGAAAGCCATCTTCCTGGAATTCAGACACAATCGAGGAATAAAAATCAAAGAAACGGCAGGAGTTCCCATCTGACTGTTGGCGCTGGCGACTGTCAGAGAGGCAGGGAAGAGAGAGACCCAGACCCCACCTGGTCCCGACTGCGTCAGGCACGGATCAGGCCTCTGAGGGTGCGTCCCCTGGGCAGGACAGGCTCAGCAGACGTGGGGCGGCGCCCTCGGACCCTGCACCCTCCCTGCTCACTCCAGCCGCCTCCACCTCTCCCACTCCACAATTCATACCTTCTGGGTTTCCCCCACCCCCGCCCAAACCGCACCATAATCACAGAATCAGTGAGTGTCACCGCTCAAAGGGACCTCAAAGCCCGCCCCCAGCCCCAAGCATTTGAAGTGACACAATCTCTGACAGGCCTCCAGCTCTCAGCGCGCGCGCCAACTGATTCAGCTCCATCCATTTCCTTAATCCTTCCAGAACACACGCCCCGAGTATCCCCACTTTCCGGAGCAGCTACAGGGAGCGTCATCCAGCAGCTCACCAGCAGGGCTGGGGACTACACCCAGGTGGGCCAGCCCAGAGCCTGGACTCTCACGGACCAGACGCCCTTGAGAGCCCACGGCCTGGTCCAGAGCTCCAGGGCACCAGCCCGGCCTCCCGGGACCGCGGAGGCTGGGGAGGGAGTGCGCGAGAGCCGGTGTGCAAGCTCAGCCGCCTGTGGCTCCCCAGCCCCGGTCCCGGGCTCAGCTTTCCCAGCCAGGTCACTGCCAGCCACCAAGGCTTTAGTCCCCCTGCCTCCCTGCCGGCGGCCAGCAGCGGGTGGGCTCAGGCCGCGAAACCACAAAGAGTTCATTTTCAGAGACTGGCCAGGCTGGCTCTCAGCAAGCTGGCGACTCCCGGCTCTCTTCTCGCTCTGCATCTCGTCTCCCAGGAGAGGGCGCGAGAAGTGAGCCGGCGACACCGAGTTCCCGAAGCCGGGAGCAGCCTCGCTAGGGGCAGCAGCCACTCCCCCCCTCCACGCACACCTGGGCCAGCCACCGAGCAGCAGCGACACAGACACCGAGAGCTGGGGGGGTTCGGATTAAGTTGCAAAGCGCTTGAGAGATTGGGGATGACAAAAGGGGCTTGGAGACTCATTAGGAGCAGCAATGAAAGCTTAATTCATAAAAGCAAACATTTTCCATCCATCAACCTGCAACTAGTTAAGGGCAACGTTTGAAAGAAATCTGTGCGTGGGGAAGGGAGCCAAGAGGAACAGGAAATGTTTGAAAGAATGTAAACTATTTCAGTTTCATAAAAAGTAACAAGTAAACAGTTATTACATGCAAATAATGCCCTGGTTTTAATTAATGCTGAAAAGTCAAAATATGTCTGACATTTGCGCGTATACATTGAGGGGCTTCGGAGGAGAAGTGGTACCCAGATGCCCGCTGCAGAGTGGGGCTGGCGGCTTGGGGGAGCGGAAGCCCCGCGCAGGCCTTGCTCACTGGTGAGGAAAAGCACAGCTCTGCGCCGGCCGTGCGTCAGCCCGCGCCGGGTCCGGGAGCGTGGGTACCGGGGCTGGAGGGGCGCCTGCCTCGGGAAGGGAACTGCAGGCTTCAGCCTCTTCGCCACTGGCCCCTCTTAAAGGGACACGGCACGGCCTCTCCACCCAGGAGCTAAGGGGTGGCGGCAGTCCCAGCAGCCCCAGGCGGCAGCCACCGGGGCGTCTGCTCCGGTCCTGAGAACAGCACACCAGCCTGACCCTGGGCGGGTGGGCGGGAGCCGGCAGCCTGAGCACCCCACGCTAGCATCCAGAGGTGCATTAGTTTCTCTTCTAAGCCACCTGGAGGGCTCTGGGAGACCACAGCTGGGGAGAGCAGAAGCAGACTCCGCCCCGGGGCCGGGAACGCCGCTGGGCAGCTCTGTCCCCAGGCCAAGGGCTCCTCCTTGGAGCCTCCTGCCTCTCTGAGCTGGTGATGCCACGGTCATGGTGCAGCATCCTCCCTGAGACCAGGGGAGAGCGCGGCGGTGCCGGATGGCCGCAGGAGCCGGCAGGCGCCAGGAGCGCGCCTTCACATGGGTCTGTGACACCCTCAGGGGTGGTCCAGGCGACTGCGGACCAGCTGGGCCTTTGGGGTGGGGGAACCCCAAGGCCTCTCTCTCTCAGTCTCCTTCCCCCTGCCTCCGCCACGGCCAGCACTGGCCACCCGCCCCCTTACCTCGCCCGCTGCGGCCCACGAAGCGCAGGTCGTTGAACCTGGCCACCTGGTTCTTCATGACCGCCGAGGCGTTGCGCAGCTCAGCCGAGTAGTTCTCGTCGTTGCCGGCCATCACGGTCACCACTGTTCCGTCGGGCACGTCCCCCAGCGCCACCACCTGAGGACACAGGGGGAGCGGGGGCCGCTGAGAAAGGAGGGGAGGGGCCGGGCGAGGGAGCGCCCCAGGTCCCAGGCGCACTGCGGATTCCTCAAAGGAGGGACCAGGAAGGGAACGATCTTTTTCCGCCCAAAGGCAACAAAAACAAGACGGAAGCCCTGCCTTCCGCCCCGCGGTCCTGGCTCCGCTGGCTAACCCGCGTCCCAAGAAATCTTGCTTTCCGCCAAGCTACCTGTGCTGGAGAGCCGTGGCTCGGCTCAGTCACGGTGCGACACACGGTTCCTCTGCCTTCCGCTCGAGCCAGAGAGGAATCTGCGTGCTCCCAGCAAGCAGCCCGCCAAGTCAAGAGCATCAACAGGAATCATAACGGCACTGCTCGCCCCACTCATCCACGCGAGGGCCACTCGGGGCCTGAGACGTGGCCCAGGCCCCGTGGATCAGCCTCCACAGGGCCTCGATTCATTACACAGAGAAAATGCAAAATGCAAAAAATACGCTGGTGCCTTGAGAGGGGTCCTCAGGAAAAAAAATAAAAAACCCTTTTAAAGTGTGTGTGTGCATGTGTGTGTGCGTGTGTGCGTGTGGGGGCAGGCTTTCGTTAAGAGGAAGATGCACCTGCTGGGAATTGCAGGGGGGGGCTGTGCCCCTCCACTCCATCTCCCCCACCCCGGGGAGGGAGAGTCAGATGCCTCCTAAAGGAATCAGACTTTGCACAGAGCCACAGCCATTTCAAGGTGCCCGCCGTGCGCAGGGACTGGGGATCCAGATGGTAGAGATTTCGAGGAGAAATGTTTGGGGTCTGATTAAAAAGGCCAGATTTCCTGTCAACATCCTGTCTTCTTCTAATTTCAAAGATTCCTTTTAAGCTCCAAGTGACAGTAAACCTCCGATCTGAGGACGAGTGGCACACGGGCCTCCCCCCCACCCCCCACCCGGGAGATTTAAGATGTCACCCGGGAGACCTCAAAGAGCCACTCATCCTTTTTTCCAACTCGGAGTCGCCTTAATGGGCGCAGGGCCGGCCTCCACTGCCTGCGGCGGCGGTTTGCAGCCACCTCGGCACCCCCCGCCCCCCGCCGCCGGCCTTTCCGGCCCGGCCCTTTCTCACGGCAGCTGCGAGAGGTTTAGGGGAAAACCGGGGCGTTTTTCGTTTCATCTCGCTGCCCCCTTAAACAAATGAAAACGAAACAGTCGCCCACTCCCTGGCACCGACGGAGCTCCTCCGAGTCGCCGGGGGACTGCCAGGGGCGCCGCTCTGGCCGGCGACCGCGCAGGGTGCGGGAGCGCCCCGAGTCACAGCCTAGGGTGCCCCCCTCCCCGGGAACGCCTCGGAAGCCAGGGGCCGGGGTGAGCAGGAAGTGCCTGCGAGGAGGCGCAGGAGGGCGGTGCTAGGCCCGCTCGCCCCCCACTCCCCACCCCCGGGGTCCTCCGCCCGGCAGCCCAGGGATCCCGATTGTGGGGGGGGATCGGAGCCCCATCCGCCCGTTCCTCCCGCAGCGTCTCCACGCAGGACTCCGCTTAGCCCGGGTGCAGGGGGCCTAAGCCTTGAAAGACAGCCTGCGGGGCGCGCAGCGACGCCGCCCAGGTACGGCGCGCAGTGGGGTCTCGGGCGCGTCCCCTCCCCACCGCTCCGGGCCGCCGGGAGCCCCGGGGACCGTGTCCTCCGCCCCGGCCCGCACTCACCTTGAAGGCGACGGGCAGCGTCTTGTTGCAGCGCCAGTGCGAGGGCAGCACGGAGCAGAGGAAGTTGGGGCTGTCGGTGCGCACGAGCTCTCCCGCGTGGTCTGCCAGCACGTCCACCATCGAGCGCACCTCCGGCCGGGCGCGCCCGCCGGGCCCCACGGCCGCCTGCGCGCCCAGCGCGCCGCTGTTCTCGCCCATCTTGCCGCCGCCGCCGCCGCCGCCGCAGGGGAAGGCCGTGGAGGGAGGTGTGAAGCGGCGGCTGGTGCTCGGGTCTACGGGAATACGCATAACAGCGGCCGTCAGAGCGCGAGGCGGCGGCGGCGGCGGCGGCTCCCCACTGGGTGGCCGGCGCGGGCGCCTCCTCGGCCGCGAGAAGCGGGAAAGCAGAAGCGGCGGCGCCGGCCCGGGCCTCGGGGCACAGGGGGCGGCGCCCGGGGACGCCCCGCCGGGGCCCGGCCGCCGCCGCGAGGCCTCGCCGCCCCGACGGCCGCGCGCAGCCTGCCCGCTAGCACCGCATCCCCGGGGCGCGGCCCGCCCGCGGCCGCCCCTCGCGGCGGTCCTGGCTGCCCACGCCGCGGCGGGGCCGTGCGGGCTCTGCTGCCGCCGTAGCCGCCGCCGCCTCCCGCCCCCGCAGCCCGCGCGCGGCCGCCCTGCGACTCGGCAGCCGCAGCCCCAGAGCAAATCCTAGAGAATCAAGTGGCGGCGCCGCGGCAGCCCGCGCGGGGTTAGTACCCTGGGGCCAACGGGGCGGGGCCGGCCCGAGCGACGCGCAGGGCAGCCAATCGGAGCCCCCATCGCGGGCACCTCGCGGGGGAGGAAGGGGCCCCGCCAAGGCCGCCCAGCTGGGGAGGGACGGGAGGCCCCGCCCCGCGGAGCGCGCCCTGGGCCGTAGCCCCAGCGCGGTGGCATCCCGGGGCCCGGGGCGTTCCGCGGAGACGGGGACTGACTCTGGAGACGCGGTGGGGGCGCGGGGGTCGCGCGCGAGCCCTCCTCGCCACCACCTCCAAGGGCCGCGTCTGCGCGGCGCGGGGCCGCAGCCACTTCTCTCCGCTCCCCAAGCCTTGCTGCTCCTCGCTCGTGACGCCTGCACCCTCCTCTGGGCGCGGGGAGCCTCCGGGAGCGAGTTCCCTCACCCCGCGCCCGCGCGCCCTGGCCTGCTTTGACCCAAGAGGCTGCACAGCACTGGGGGATCCCGCTGCCGTCGGGGCCCTGCCAGCGGCCTCTGCAGCTCCCAGCGCTGTGCGGCTTTGGTCCTGGCCTCGGTGTCTCCCGTGCCAAGCTGGGGACAGACGGGAGGGAGTCCCCCACGGGCCCGCCGCCGGCTAAGTCCGGCGGTGCCGTTGCTCTCTCCGCTCTCCCTTCAAAGGCAGGTGACAGAATCGCGCAGGCCTTGGGGCGTCGCACTTCGTTGGGGCGGCCTGTGGCGCCGTGAAGGCCCCGCCGGGGCCTGCTGTCCTGACCGTTTCCCTCCACGCTTAGCCCGCGTCCTGCATGATATGGGCGCACGTCTGTGGCGAGGAGTGGCCGCAAAGCTATGGGCCCCGGCTGCCAAGGGGGAGGCAGTGTTCTCCCTCCCGGGGCATGAAAAGTCGCCCCGGCGGATCCCAGCTCACTGCTCCCTGGGCCCCTTCACTCCCGAAACGCGGCGGCCTGTGTCCCGGCCCCGGGTTCCTGCTCCCACCCTGGGCCGCACCGCGCAACCACTCCCGGGCTTTATAGCAGGCAGCCCCCTTCTCTCCCGCCTTCTCGGGCCAGCGGGTCTAGGCAAGGGTTGCAGCAGGGAGCGGGCGGGAAAGACCAAGCCCCAGTTCACTCTCAGTTACACCCTGGATGTGCTCCTTGGACCCCGGGGAGCAGGCGGCATCAGAGTCTCCACGTTGCTTTAGAGAGGGGGCTGGATTTTCGTTTCGTCCAGAGCCCCGCAGGTGCAAAACAACGAATTCCAAGCCTGGGGAGCTGCAGCAGGGCAGTATCTCACTGCACCTCCCAAGACCCGGTCCTGGACCTGACCCCTGCCCCGCGCTCGGCATTTCGTGGTCTCCAAACGAACTCGAGCCCAGCCTTTTTTCCAAGGGGCTCTGGCCCAGCCCCGATGCCCTGGAGCGCTAGCCTCTGGCCGGGTCCCCTGCCAGCCCCTCAGTCCATCTGGAAAGTGAGTGTAGCGAGAGAGTCCCTGACTGGACCAGTTTGGGGAGCTGTCAGCCGCGGGGGACGAGGCCCGTGCGCCCTCGGAGACGCCGCCGTGAGCAGCACCACTGGAGGAAAGCAAGGGATCCCGGCCTTGGCCCTTGGCCAGCGGGATCTGCAGGAGCTTCCTGGGGAGGCGCGCACCGTGTCGTGGCCAGGAAGGGCTCTGGGCCCTCCAGCGGCTCTGGGGCCGCGGCCCGTGGCTTCTGGGGTTTGTCAATTCTATCCCTCGAGTGGTTTCAGTTTGCACCCGTGCGCTTTCCTTCTCCCTCCGCCTGAGTTCTGCCTCTCTCCCCACGACGGGGTAGCAAACGGATTTCCTGAGAATGGGGCTGTTCTGGGCCCCGGCCCCGGCCCTCCGGAGGGCGCTCGCTGCCCGTGGGCGCGCAATCCGGAGAACGCGGGTTGCCGGCGCGCGGGTCCCCCAGCCCCGCGGTCTCTGGGGCCTGTGGGGCAGCTGCAGTCTCGGGAGCCACCGCTAGTGGGTGCCTGTGCCCCGCCCGGAACGCAGTTGCGGGGCAGGGCCCAGCGCACAGATGCGCGCCAGCTGCGGTCCCCGTGCCCGGGCGCGGCGGGCAGCCTCCTACCAGCTGCCCTTTCTGCGCAGACTGCCCATCCACTTCCTCCTCCTCTGGGCGGCCACGTATTGGACAAGCCGGTGTCCTGGCGTCGGAACGCCGCCCTCGCAGCCTCCGAGGGACGGGCCAGGCACCCGAGGGCCCCTGCGCCCGCGCGACGGCACTTAGTCCTCGCGGGAACTGCAAAGCCCTTTCCCGGGGGAGGGTGGGGGCAATGCAGGGAAACAGGCCGGGCGCTCTCCGATTCCTACCTGTCTGCCTGCGGCCGCCGACCCTCTTCCTGCCCACCCCGGGCCGACAAACCTGCCCCCTTGCCTTGTTTGCAGTGTGCCCTTGACGCGTGGAACACCCTTTCCCCGGGCTGAGGTCTCCTTTCCCTCTGCCATCTGCCCCTGCACAGACAGCGCCATTTCCCGCCAGGGCCCCCAGCTAAGAGCGCCCCAGGCTGTCCGCAGCGGGGCGTGGAAACGGAAGGTCGGGACACTCCTCCTCCCCTACCTTGGCGCCCGGGCGCCGAGCTAGGTAAACCCGGACCCCGTGTGGAGCCCCAGGCTGGGGTGGGGTGGGAGGATCCGCCTACTGAGGTCGGTCTACCAGGAGTGCGCTCTGAATGCGTTCACCGCAGCGAAGGGTCCGCTGGGTCCCGCCCCCTCCTTCCAGCCTCAGGAGTGGCCTGGGGAGGGGCAGGGACCCCACCGGGTCTGAACAGACGCGCCCGGGCTGTGGAAGAACTCGGGTCTGCAGCGCCCTAGCCTGAATCCCCGCAGTGATGGAGGGGCAATGGCTGAAATCCTCCGCTTGACCTGCAAGGTGGGGGAAGTGCTTCTGTAGCGGCCTCCTCTTAGAGGGGCGTGGGCCCCGTGCTTAGCACCGGCCTGGCACACAGGGGCTGCGCCGTCCGTGCCGGCTGCAGCCATTTTAGCACAAAAAGAGGCCTGTCGCCCTTGCTGGGGGCTTTTGGCAACCCCCCGCCCCTCTTGGGGCCTCAGAGCCTTCATCAGTGAAACACTCTGTTCTCATATTCACAGCCCGCTCGAACTCGAACTCGAACTCAGAACTCAGAGCCGAGTCCTCGGCAGTCCCGCCTGCCTGGGGGTTGCCTGGGGCGGCCTGCGGGGAGGTGGACACCACCTGGGAGCTGCCCCCAGCACAGGTCACAGGTGCCCGAGCTGGGGTCTCAGGCCCCAGGCTCCCACACCCTCCCTCTGGAAACCTGTTGGCTCCGATCCTGCCCGTGCTGTCCCCCCAGGCAGCCACCTTCCCAAGTAGCCGCTGGGCCTCTTTGACTCCCCGGTCCGGGGAAGAGGGCTCTGGCTGGACGGAGGCCTGAAACCTGCCCCGCTCTGGGCTAGTTCTCCCGGGACTCCGGGGAGGCCTTTCTGCCTCTCGCTGAGCCTGGGTCTCCCGTCCGAGTGGTCTCCGCTAACCACTCCCTTTCACCTCCTGGGGTTAAAGAGGGGGAGGGCGTGGTGCTGCGCTGCGCTGTGCAGTGCCGCCGCGGGAGGAGGAGCTGCTGCCCCGAAACCGGGACTGCTCTGTGCCTGTGCCGGGTGTCAGGTGCCCATGTGCTGACATGTGTGCAAAGTGTGTACGTGGGCAGAAGGCATCACGCCATAGAACATATCTGACCATAAACTAGCCAGGAACATTCGTGAAAAACCGTCACATCTCAGTCCAGAGGTTGTCCCCTGCAGGGTCCGGGCCACCACCAGGGAGAACCCAGCTGTGGGGCCGCTTCTCTGGAGAGATCCAGTACTTGTGGAAGAGCAAGTGTGCTTCTCCAATTACAATAGATCGCTCTCTCCCCAGGGCCAGTCTTAGAAGGGAGGGAGGAGCGCAGGGGAGTGCACGGCGAGGCGGTGAGGCCGCAGCCGCCGTCTGTGCCAGGGACTGGCTGTATGGCTTTTGCCCAGGGTTTGCGCCCCTCTGCGCCGGGGCCCCTGCCAGGTGAGCTGAGTGGTACCGTGTGCTCGGTGCTCGGCACTGTCCAGCAGGTGGTACACTCACTGAACCAGGATTGCCCCAGGTCTGCCTGGCAGAGGAAGCCGGGAGCCAGGTGCAAGCCGGCGCCAGGGGCAAGGCAGTCACCACTTCCCAGCTCCTGAGGGCTGAAAGAGGTTAAGAGCAGCAGGGGGCACGGATCCAATGCAGCCCCGGGAACCTCTCAAATTCTCAAACCCCGTCCCAGATGGTCAGCGCTTGCCAGGGCCTCCGGGAGCGACCTGTGCGGAGGCTCACTCACCGGGCGCTCCCCTTCGACCTCAGAAACGGGGCGGGGAACGTTGAGACCAAAAATGGAGGAGAGGCGCAAACCAGGGTCTGGAATGAGCTCGGCAAGGCCAGGGAGCGGGCACTGAGCGGCCCAAAGCACGAGGGGGCCTGACCTCAGCCCTGCTTGAGCCGCGGCCCGAGCCCGGGCCCGCGCCGGCGCGGCAGTACTGGGCGCGCAGTCTCCGAGCCTGGACGCAACCCGCGGCGTCGGCCGCCGCCACGGCAGAAGCGCGAGA